TTAAAACATATCTGGGGCCAAATTCAACCTTTACTCTCCAGCAGCAGAGTAATGCAGAGTTACGCAGCAGGAAAGCAGTTATACTGGCAATGAACCCGATCCCTACCTTTTAGTCAACTGGCTTAATATCTGTGCTTCTGATAACTGCTGTTACATTAGTAAGACACTTGAACTCACTTATTTTCCAGTGCATACAGAGGTGTAACTCAGAGGGGCTGACATTACTGTTTGCTATTTCATGGTAAACCTATACACGACCTTAATGCCTAGCACAGAATCATGTGAGTGTTTGACACACCAGCAGTCTAAAATGTAGTTTTCTCACACTTGTGGCTGATCTTAGCAACCTGGTTGACTGAAAACGACTTACTGAGAGACTGAAATGATTTCCTGAGGTGATTTCAAAGATTGTCTTGAGGTGAGGATGCATGGACAAAATACAGCTTTCCCCAGGAGGTATAGAGAGCTGTTCAGCTCCTTAGGATATAGCCATGTAAATGTTTTATTCATGTCAGTTATTCACATAAGTGGGTTTCACTTTAGTGTGTAACACAAGCCAGCTGGTTTGCTTCTTTTAAACTCTGATTTCTCATGCACTTCATATTGCTACACCCCCTTCAGAGATATTTATGGAAATTTCACAGCAAGCTCTCTCAAGCTTCTGTGCCATTAAGATTCCATTCTGGGGTGTTTACTGCATTAGATTTATAACATACAGATTTATGGACTCAGCTACTTGATGGCCCAATAAAGCATGTTGGAACTGAAGGCAACTACTAATTAAAATAATACTTGATTGTCCTTAGCATATTGTAAAACTGCTGTGGATTTAAACAGAGCCACTGCAGCTCCTATAAAGCCTCCCAGCCTAACTGTGTAATAAGAAAACTGACAGTTTGCATGCAAGATCAGTTTATTTGTGGCTACACTTAGGGAATTATAACGTTTGTCTATCTGTTTGTATACATGGAAGTGAACTAGCATTGAAATACTTTTAAGCACCCTGTGGCTTTGGCTGTTCTAAACACCAAAGAATGAAACTTCACAGCCAGAGGGAACAAGAAGGTTACAGTATTAGTTCCAGGGTTGTAAAGTATCAACTATTCCACTAATCCCCATTTAAACAATTAGCTTAAATCCTACTGAAAAGGATCAGCTGTTAAGATGCACCTGAAGCAAAGTTCCTCATGGAAAAGGGTACTTTCAGTGTTGGGTAGATTTTCATCTTGAAATCTAACATTCAGTGTTAGAAACAAGAGACTTGGCAATGCTGCTCCTTGCTCTAAACGGTTAACGTTCTCAGGCTGACTTCATACACATTACAAAGTGTAGTAAGAGGTATGAATTTTCAAGCATGCAAACAGCCTGGCTTACACTGTAATTAGGAAACAGTGATGAAAGCAAAATACTTAAATAGTTAAAATGAATATTAATTACCATGATGCCTTATTACAATGCTCAGTTAATTCCATTCTAATGAACTGCATTAAGAGCTCTTAACACCAGCATGGTGGCTCCATTCAGAATAGAATTTTTTAGCAGTGGTCATGAAAGGTGACTTCATACCCTTCTCTGCAATTAAAACAGAGATATTTTACTTGCCTGCCACAAAGACTGACATGCAGAACTTTACAGAACAGGTAACGATGGAAAACTGAGGCACTGTCATTTGAAATGCCAGGAGCACATTAAGAAGAGGGAAGAACATTCATGAGTCCTTAACAAGCAAAGATCAGATACTCAAAAACTCCTTTAAAAGCCTTTTCATGTCAAGTGTTGAATTAAAATCTGTAGTTTCAGCAAGTGGGGGTAACGTGCAAGCCATCTACAAATGAGGGTTCTGGTGTCCTCAACATAAAAAGGACATGGAACTGTTGGAACAAGTCCAGAGAAGGGCCACGAGGATGATCAGGGGACTGGAGCACCTCCCGTATGAAGACAGGCTGAGGAAGTTGGGGCTGTTCAGCCTGGAGAAGAGAAGCTGCGTGGAGACCTCATAGCAGCTTCCAGTGTCTGAAGGGGGCCTAGAGGGATGCTGGGGAGGGACTCTTCATTAGGGACTGTAGTGATAGGACAAGGGGTAACGGGTTCAAACTTAAACAGGGGAAGTTTAGATTGGATATAAGGAGGAAATTCTTTCCTGTGAGGGTGGTGAGGCACTGGAATGGGTTGCCCAGGGAGGTTGTGAATGCTCCATCCCTGGCAGTGTTCAAGGCCAGGCTGGACGAGGCCTTGGGTGCCATGGTTTAGTGTGAGGTGTCCCTGCCCATGGCAGGGGGGTTGGAACTGGATGATCTTAAGGTCCTTTCCAACCCTAACGATTCTATGATTCTATGATTTACATTAGCTGAGATGCTGGTGTTGCTCATCTGAATTTACTGTCACATCTGCAATATAGGTCAGTGTCCAAATGCAGAACTTTGGAAGAAATTTCTTGCACATTTTCAGCAAATCCAGCTTTCTGCTGAGTCACCAAGATAAGCACTTATATGAGAAGCAAAAAAAGAGGCGAGATGTTTGAAGAAAATGAGATTTCTTCTATTCCTCCTCTAAATTATATTTGCTATTATTGCTAGATGATACTATCTTCAATCTCAGTTTCCAATTACACAGGTATAAACCTGCAGTATTGCAAGTGTTTTACCCAGAACAGAATCCAGCATCCACCTTTCTAACTGTCCTATAATGGCTCCCTGTACGAACAGATGGAGACCAAGGAAATAAGTGCTCTATTTTAATAGTTGCTCTTGCTTTTATTTCCATTGCTATGAAATTGGCTTTTAATTCACTTTCATTTCCTAAGTTATTTTCCTACAATTTATTTTGGTATAAATCCCATGTAGTAACCTACATCTGTCTGAAAGAAAAGCCACCCTTTGATTAGAGCTGGAATGCAGTATCATATACCGTGTGCTTGGAAACCTCTGCAGAAAAAACCATGTCTGCTTTAATACATCTAGCTCGAGGCACCACGGGGTGAGTCGAGGACAACAGAGCAGTGGGTTTGAAATAAAGGAAAAGCAATGTCCCTGCTTCTCTTGGCTCGCCCATACATAAACTTCACTGCTATTTATGTGACTTTTATAACAGTTTGGGGTAAAAGTAATTCTATCTGCCTGCAAAAATTGATTTGCTGCCTTTCCTGTCTTTGAGGAGACTGTGGAAGTCCACCTGCAAAACAGGGGCTTCCTGCACCTATAAGAATTAATCAATATGCCAATTTCAGCAGCAAGAATAAATTGCTCTTCATTCAACAACGATTCATGATATATGTGCAATGGAGATGAATTATATTTTTCACCAATTATTTTAGTCTTTTAAAGGAATAATAAAAAATCCCTATTATATTAGTTATTTTTCACTATACTCTAAAACAACAACATACTTGTTCAATTCACTTCCAGAAGCTTCTGGAACACACAATGGAACTACCCCTTTTTTCATGCATCTTTCCTCCAGCATCAGAGAATACAACTGAAAGAAAATCTTTCCTATAGCTTACAACAAACTCCTACAGCTTTTATCAAGCAGGTCTTTGTAAAAAAGCTTTCAATTCTCTATGTAGCAGGCGTATTATTATATCCTGCTGACATTAGCAGGATAGAAACCACAGTTTGGATTTGGTTATAAAATATAATACCCCCCCCCCATTTTTTGTAACTAACGGATTTGTACTGCATTTTTTCTTCTAGTCTGTCAGAAAAGTGATCACTACGGAAACCTTACCGTTAAGGAAAGCCAAGAAAAGCTTTGTAACAAGGGCCCAAGCTTAGTGCTTCCCTTTTCTGTTTTTTCTTTCACCAGATGATACATCTCCAAATGATTACTGCCTCTGAAGCTTTTGTGGAGGTTTTCTTTATGCTTCAGCCGCTGTGTGATTGTAACATCTTATCAATGGCACCTCTCCTCTGCTCCAGTCTCCCGAGAGCTCGGAGAAATTTGTTTGCAACATCTCCTGAAAAGTCCCAGGTAACTCCTGGTGCAAAACATTTGCCTGTAATTTGGTTTTTGGCTGCACAACAACTGCTCCCTGGTGCAGTGTCCACCCTGAGCACCTCTAAGTGAGGTTCACATTAGTTATTATGAGTATTCCTAATACGCCACTATGCAAAGTATGGCTTTGTCTTTGTCCTGTGAAAACATAGAAAGCAAGCCCTATGGACACCAGAGGTATCATTTTCACAGGGTAGAAATCAGGAACAAAAAGTATATATGCAGAATATGAGAGAAGGCTTTTGCACCTGGTGCAGCTTCAGTGACACGATCAAGGGAATAGAAGCTGCTTAACCTGCAGCAGTGATACCATGAAATGTCAGTATTTGGTGATGCTCAAGTTAGTAAACTTCCATTTATCATCTGAAGTGTAAAGATTAGAGGATAATGACTTTTCTTCTACATGAATGGTATGGCAGTTGGAAAGCTCTTGATTGTTTGATAAATGTACCTAAACGCTTTCTTTCCTGTTCTTTCACCCTCCTGCAGCAACAGAACAACCTATTCCACACAATGGAGCAGGATATGACCTCACAAAAACCTATGAGTAACTAGATTTAGATGAAACTACAGCATTACCTTCTAAAAATCTAAAAGAATTCTTCCACTCCTCCAAAATATAAGGGCATTTTTAAAACCTGGTATTTATACTTGTAAACCACTCAGGGGACAAGATTTTTCTTCCTTACCTCCTGGGTCCATTATAGGGTCAAACACAGAACTGGGGAAACTCTCAACATTGCAGGCGGTTTTTCAAACCCATGTGAAAGCTTGAGACACACATTTCATACTGAATTTCAGCTGGTTTTGTGACTGACCCTCTAGGAACCTTTGGGCAATGAAGTCACAAAACCCAGGAAAGAACAAGTGATACTGGCAATAAAGATACAAATACAGCAGATGGCAGCTTTTGTTATTTTACTCATTTTTCCATTAATTCTAGGTTTAAAATATGTTTAATGTGCTTTTACTTCAACTCTGACCCATCTTCCCCCAGAAGTACTCACTTGATGAAATATTTGATTCCATCTGCTGTATAAGCTTCCTCCCATCCGTAAGGCAGACCTAAGATGAAATAAAGAAATAAGATGTGTTTCAAACCTTAACTGACTCAAAGAACATAGTTTTGAGATGATATAAATCAGAATGCTGTCATTTCAAACCATGTCTAAAAAAGATCATAATTTTTGCTGTTTTGTAACAAAATAATTTAAAGAATACAATTTAATAACTGTTCGCTGTGCTGCAAAGCTACAAACCATTTCATGATACTTTCATGACTAGCATTTCTTTTGTAGAAGCTGACAGGCTGGTCAAATCACAGTGTAGTAATTAAGTATTTTTGAACTTTACATTGTAATTTACACCTACATAAAGTGACCAAACCCCTCCTGTGCCTGTCTTCTGTTGAGGTCTGGTTTTACAGCTGTTAAATACAGATGCTAATAACGATACAAGGTAGTAGTATGGGCAGAATGAAATCCTCTGCCGTTTGTTTTTTTCACTAACTTTTGTGTTTATACAAAATTTGTGGGGATTTAGGCACAAATTCCACACAGAGACAGATTTGGAGAAAATATGTACAGATATTTCTGTTATATATCCTAAAAAAGGTTAATTTACTAAATGCATTGCTTAATTTTGTGATTTACACTAATGTAATCAGTCACGCTAATCTTAAAAACTCAATCTTGGATGTTGTTCTTAGGTTGAAAGTCCTATCCATGAGACTGATCAGTAATACATAATACTTTTATTAGGGTACAATACTATATCACTTTAAAAACTAAATTTCCATAGCAAACCTCTGCCTTTTCAACTACTGTTCACTCAATACCAGCTCTTTGTAGGGTTTGAAAAGTGCTGGAGAAAGAAGCATCAGTCAATGTGCAAAAACGCTCCTGATGGACGCTTTTGTGACACTGCACTGTAATGTAGATAAAGTGAAAGGTCCTGAAAAACCCCCCTTTCTTGGAGACTAGAAATATGCATATGAAATTAAAATATGCATGAAAACTTATTCTGGAAGTGCTTTAGCTTGGAAGCCATCTCAAAATGTGTCTTAGGAGTTAAACTATTTTTGTGCAAGTCACAGTATCTCAAAGACCAGCTCATTAGAACCATCTGTGAGCCTGCTTTAGATTTAAAACTCTTATTTGGAAAATGTGCTGGCCTGCAAGCACCAGATGATCTTTGAAAGCTGCTTCATACCAAGGAATGCCCTAAGCACACATGTTTATTTTGGAACTTCTTTCTCAAAAGGCTCCTTTTCTTCTCTCCCATCGTCACAACTTTGTCTTTCGTGTGGTCCTTCCCAGTCCGGAAAGGGCTAACTTCAGTTCTCAAAGATAAACAGCATTACAGCTACTGAATCATGACCTGGCACAGTGAAGCAGGTATAAACCATCTGAGAAGGAACTATACCTGTAGGTACCAAGTGAAGAGCAAAAAGTCAGTCAGGCAGGACTCCAGAAGTCAGGAAGGAAATTTGAGAATTAGAAATTGTAGAACAGCGCCATTACTGTTCAGTACAGCTTGAAAAGCAAAAAGCTCACTGGCTTACTTCTCCTTTCATTTCTACCCCATATTAGTCATTTATCTCAGACTTCTTCCCATTTTCAGTTTAGAACAGAGCTATACAATCTGTTCCTCAAAACATGCCACCTACTACCTTTCAGAGAGAATAATCCACAGCTACTTCCCTTTAAATACAAGGTAGTTGCTGCATAACAGTTTTCAGGCTCTGACTCCATCATAAAGAAAGAAAGAAAAGGATGTTTCAAGTCACAAATATGCTAGACATGATCACAAGTTCTTCCTCTCCCATGAAATATGGGACCTTCCTTCAACACGGATATTTTCTAATCATTTAAATGGCAATAGGGTTCATCCTTCAATTGATTCCATCTGCCCTGGCCTTTCCTCATGCCTGCATGCAACGTGCATACCCAAAATAAGTAAGAACATCTCTTCTAAATTATAAATAGAACCTCAGCATCTGCTCTGTGCTCACACGGATCCCCTCTTATCACCTGTTTCATTCATCAGTGATTATAACCCTTTTTTCACTAGAGAGTTGATTAAAGTTATGTCTTTTTTTCTCATTTCTAAATGAAGAATGGTACGTAGGTAGCAATGAAAACTGATGCTCTGTATTCTTTTCTTAACACAAAAGACTGTGCTTTTCAAAAACACTGAATGCATCTGTCACCTATAAATTAAACTCCGGAGATATCTCTACAGTTTTATTTGCCTTTTTGACTATATATGCATTAGATTGTATATCCTATCCACTCTTTATATGCGTCAAAGTTCCACCTACATCTGCAGGTTTTTTTAATGCCTTTCTTTTCCACATTTTTACTTTTTCTCCACTCGTTTTTCACTGCTGTTCCCTTTACTCATTTCCTTCATGGTTAGATTTGTACTTGTATCTCTTGGTATTTCCCATGGTAGCCAGAAGGCTCTTATGTTTTGCATCGTGTTTCCCTAGACATCATCTTCACTTCCTTCAAGCTCCTTTCTCCATGAATCATTCATAAGTTGATCTACTTCCTAGTGCTCTATTTTTTCACACCCTCCAGGGTCAGATTTGTTGCCTGTCCTAGGACTTGCTTTGAAAGACTGCTAAGCTGTCACCTGAAGTAAATGGGAGGTACAGGAGCTCAAACCATCAGAAATACAGTCTGAAAGATACAAGATTTAGCCTATATAAACCCTGGCAGTCTTAGGTTTCCTACATATTTATAATTTCTTCTGTGACTTGCTGCAGTCTTTGATGAAATTTCATGAATAATATATCTTGGCTGCAGTTGTCTGCATAGATCATCTTAAAAAAAATAGAGAATTACAACATTTGAAAGGAATTTCAGCAGAAAAGACAGGACTTCTTCCTATACAAATATTTGTGACTATTTACCTTTTGCAAGGTAAAGAAAAGGTAAAACTGCAAAAGTGATTATGCCTGCAAAAGAAATGGATACAGTCCAAAGCATCCTTTGCCCAAACAGAATGAACAGTCTCCTGAGAGAGCGTTAGCCAAAATACATTATTTGGCTACCATTATTTTCCACTAAGTATATGCATTTAATTAGGGTTAATGCAAAGGAGATTTCTATAATTTGATGTGAAGAATTAAAACAAGAAACCACTTGCTGTCATCTGTATACCAGAACTGTGAGCTGGTTACCGAGCAGCAAGGCAGAACCCCCGGTGCCTGCCTGCCTCCTTGGCTGCAAGATGCCTGCTGTGATAACACGATTGTAAAGTTAACATTATATAAAGCTGAAAGGAAATGAAACCCTAGGGCAAGCAAAATTTTCCTGACACTTGATAAAGGGTGGATCGCATCGATCTGTATCACTTCCTGGGGTTAAAAGGACAGAGAATGCATCAGCATTGACACTTGGCTGGTTGCAGTAAGGAGAAAGATCAGCATCAGCCCAAGTTATAAACCTATATGAAACAACAGACATTGAAGATTTTGTCTACTGTTTCCAGTATACACACTTCCTCAATAAAAGCTGCATACAGCTTGATCAAAGTATGTCCCCAAAGCAAGAAGGGGGAAAATACAGATATTAGGAAAAAGCCTCATTTTACTGGACAGTTAACAAAGCTAGAAACTGTGCAGTAATGTACTTGGATGGGGTTCTCTCCCAGTATATTAGTTAAAAAAATATTAAAGCGAAAGAAATGTGGAGATGAGCAGATGAAAGTAATAAAAGCAGATCCCATAGCCTGAATGTTCAGCTGGCTCAAAACTGACAGTTATTTCCCTAACATCTAAATACTGCTGTTCAAATATGGTTTATTTTTCTTCTTTTCTGACAGAATTATTCAAAGGAAATAAGAGATTTTGAGTCTATAGCAAGAATTGCTCAAAAATTTACTGTTCATTAGGACTCTATCCAGATTTGGCCAAAGTGACACTATTTAAATGCTTCAAGATAAGCATGTCCAGTGCTTTATATTGACCTTAAGGCCAGACTAAAACCCTGCTTCCATTATAAGCAGTCATACAAATAGTACTGATGAGTTTGAAAAGAGTGCTTAGGGATAGCTGCCTACCAGAGGGATAATCTCACCTCAAAACTCTTTTGTGAAGCAGGAACTTATTTCCAGTAGCATTCACAGCTTTGTCATCCACCATAAAAAGGATGTCTGGCTACAACTGGCTGCTGTTAAGGCTAAACAATCCTATGTTTGTATCATTAAACCACCTTGTCTGGAACTCATATTAAGTATTGTGCTTAAGGGAGGTAATATCTCTCTGGAATTTAAAAGCCACATAGTACAAGTATTCTGTTTTACAATGAACACATTCTTTGACCAATTACTGAAATAGGGATGTCTTTTTTCATGTATCCTTTTACCTAGCTTGACTGCTCCAGTTATACATACTTTAAGGTACGTATACAAAAAGAGCACAAGCTAGCTCCGAACTACCCTGTATTTGCCTCCTTATAATTTATTTATACTTTAGGTTCTCAAAAATGTTTACTTCTTTTAAGAAACAGAAATTACCTGATAAAAGTATTTCCGATACGCAAGACTTGCTAAAGGACATTATGAACAGCTTCCTCTGTCACTTGACAAATGAGGTTTTGCATTCTGATCTCTTTTCAATACCCACCAATTCCAGCTCTTACCAACACTTAAACCTTCCTCACATGGCCTCAATAATGATGTAAAATTTGTTAGTTGAGATCCCAAATGCCTTTGGCTCTTCACTCTGAGCTATGTAGGCAATGCAAAGAGGAAGAAAAGCTGACTTGCTGATGCTACTTTAGCTGGTCTTGGGCTCCTGAGTGCTACAGGAATATGGCAATATCCCACATAGGAGACTAGAGGTAACAGATGATGCAAGACCAGCAGAGGAATTCCTTGGAGTCAGGCAATTTGGCACAGCTAAAGCAAAAATTTGTGGAGAAACATCCAGCCTTGCTTATCAGGTGTGTTCAACGAGGTGCAGGCATAAAAGGGCTCTTTATTTTTTGAGGCTGTCAATAATACAGACTGTATTTTACTACTTATTTGTGAACTGAATATAAAAACGCGGGTTC